AGGGTTTAGTCTAAGCACTCGCTCTTCAACTAAAACCAAAAAATAAGGCTTGCTTTGCTATTTCAAAACTGATTCAACTATAAATTAAGACAGGACAATAGGATAAATAAATTACAAAGCTGGAAAAAATGATATGGCTCTTGCATTTCACTCGAGATATGAAAGTTGAATTGAATTAAAAAAGCAACTGTTATTATAAATATGTGCAACAGCGTTTTTCACGTTTCCGTAATTTCTATTAAAAAAAGAAATTTATTTACAAATCTAAACTTGTCTAGGTTCTAAAATCACTATAAAAATGCAAACGTACCCCTTCTTCAGCCTCGGCTTTACTCATGTCTTCCTTTTTCCGCAGATGGAACTCTGGCATTTTGTCGTCCAGGTACTTTAAGTCCCTTTCAGTGAAGAATTTTTCCATGAACTTACGAACAGCAACCATTACGACTAACTAGAAATGTTTACAGCCAATTACTTAATTTAAAATAAAATTGTATTAACACACTTCAAGCAAAAGTAAAATGCACGATAAAGAAGAAAGAACGCATAAAACTATTTCAGTGAAAAAATATTGGGTTTCTTACCATTATAGGAAACGATATAGACGTAGATTTTATTGACTTCACTGTCCATAAAACTCCCAGACACGCAACCTGGCAGAAGGTAAATCGGTGGATCACAGAGATAGGAACGTGACGAATATAGATAGTATCAGGCTGATATCTAAAAAGTAATTTGCTATTAACAGAAATAGTAATATTTCTTATAAACAGTTTCAAAAGCTCAATCAAACTTCAAATTTATGAAATATAATACAGATAAACTGCATCTTACTCTAAAATGTAGCCTTAGATCTTTCCTAATAAAATGAAATTCTGTTAAAACAGAGTACTGTGCAATTTCCTCTAAATCTTTTAGTCAACTCTGAGACGCACTTCATTGGCATAAATAATAATAAGATTCTGTCAAAGAGTTGTATCCCTCCGAGAGCTGCAATACCCATATACAAGAAAACTCCATATAGCACTGGCATTGGTATGTGGCTTAATAATCCAGTCATCATTACAGATAACCCGATAAACAAAAATGTAACCATTCCAGTAACACGTTGTTCCCTAGAACAAGATAAATATACTGATCTTATCAGTCAACAAATGTTCAGAAAGAGAAGCGGTACATCAAATTTTCCTAACCTCACTCCTATGAACTGAGCAACTTCACCAGGGGCTCTCGATTCTGATTCAACTTTCAACGAGTTTACGTGGTTAATAGATAAAACCGTTGCTGCGACGTATATCGGTAGCCCCAAGAACCCTACGATAACTATAAGTGCTGATAAAACGCAAAGGTCAAGATGGTAACCGCAACCCTGAACAAGAAGCCTATTACCAAAAACAAGTAAGAAAATGTTTTAATACCCATATATGTACCTATGCAGTTACTCATTAAAAAAAGTGTAAAATGTTAAATAGGTAATTACCTTTTTGAGCTTATTTTCTTTTCGATTTACAATAACGGTTGTAATCTGTTGGTCCATAAAAATCAGGATGCAGGCCAGCAGCGCTGGTACAGCTGCAAGGGGTGCTGTCCAAAAAGGATTACCATTGAATGGTGGAATAATCCAACCTCTTCCTTCCCAGGTTGGCTAAATAAAGTTTTTTCAAGGATTAAAAGCAAGCAGAATTAACGCTTTTTTATTGAAGTAATAAAGCCCTTCACTGCATGTTTCGCTTAGCTAAATTATAATAAACCAGTAAAAGTTCGAAAAAAAAAATTGAAACTTACTCTGAATGAACTCGGGACATTTAACTTTGGTGTATTTATCCCAACAAAGAAATCGATACTGGTCATAATCACAATAGAGATCATGACAGCAAAATCACTGAATATCTGTCGAATTCTGGATGGAAAATAGCAGCTGTTCCTCATTTTCTGCAGAAATTTAAAGTTTGTATATATTGGTTTATAAGTTATCACCATATATAAAAATACTTACTTTGAACGTTATTGCTAAGAAAAATGTACCCAGCATGAGTACAAGCGACATCAGGAACTTGTCGTAAAGAAAAAAGCAGTTTTTCCCATGAAGTTTTCCATGGAAAAAGTTGCAGTCACTTATGTTAACCTAAACAAACAATGTAACTAAACAGACATTAGCTTTATAAAAAGGATATAAGAAACTGTTCAAAACATACTGCAGAGTAATTAAAAGCTCCAGTAGTTGTATTACCAACAGGATAATTAAGTCTTTTAGCATGTTCAAATGCAGTTTCATCAGTCCAATCACCTTTTTCGCAAATACAGAAACCAGGAGAGCCCTAAAATGCTTCCTCCTTGTAAGTATCAATAGACGATGCAAGTATTTCAAAGACGATAAAACATTAAGCAATATAACAAAAAAATAATTAATTTAGCACACAAGCGAGAAGTATTAATTAGAAAAAGTTACCGGCATTTAAAAAAATTATACTAAGATAGATAATTATATTATCAAGTGTAAAGCTTTTATATGATTCTTTGACAACAAGACGCTATACTTCTTTTATCAGAAACTGTCATAAAATAAAAGTAACTGAAAAATATAAAGAATATAACGCACATCATAACTGTAGTTGACAACATCAAGTTGGCTCCCGATTCTAGCTAACTTACAAATAGCCTCGTAAATGAAGATCACTGCAATTAACGTAGCAAAAGATTCTTCGGTAAAACGTGTAATATATGAGACCTGAAAGGAAAACAAGCGTAAATGATCTATAAGACAGTGCATGATAGTTCGCAAACTTTAAAATGCACTAGATTTTAAAATGGTCAAGTAGCAACCGACAAATGGAGAATAATTTAGCTAGGAATAAACTTAGACCTATAGTAATTATAAATGCTAGCTTCCATTGCCTAATGCCAGCTAAGAGAAAGATAAACTACTGGAAAGTGATAACTGACCAGCGAACTAGCGTCTGTAATAACCATAATGAACAAGATTAAAGCTGTCCACACGTGCACCCAAAACCTGAAGGAAAGGTAATCTATTTTCCAAGTGTCACATATTTCAAATACGATTGTTTCAAACACCAGAACTGGACCCGTAGAACCGATGATGGTCAACGGCTGCCCACTAAACAGGTGGTAAAAGACACCACATATTGCTCCTCCAAACAGGTTTTCCATAGCCGCCTGAAATCACATATAATGAATTACATCTACTTTTGACGCTGAGATAAGCTATGGGAAAACCAAACCATTCGCTGATGTGTTGCCTCTTCAAGAAGACCGCCGAATGTAACAATGGGAGCGAGCAGAGCAAAATACATAAAGCAGAATGTAGCCAGGCACTGCAGATTTAATGAATCAGTAAAATCAGAAATATACCAAGGAGCCTTTCGTTTTATATCCGCAATTAAACCTCCGAAAAGTTTACCAGTTCGTTTCAGCGCTGGGTCATTCCCATGTGCGTCTTCATCTTCTATCGGTTTCTAAAGAAATAAAACAACAACTTTCATCTCCTTTTCCTGCTGGATAAGCTGTCAACTTACACCTTCATATATAAAGCTACCTAATAAAATAAAGGAAAAATACCTTGGGAGGCTCAACTTCACATAATAGATTTTCTGCATTTTTTCTTTTCTCTTGCGAGGGAATTTTGCTGGGCGGTTCTATACGAATATTTGGATCCCATTCTCCTGGTGGTAAAACTGTTACCTAAAACTTAAAAAAAATTAAACTGATTTCTTTAAAAGTAACGAATCAGCTGCTGCTTCTGACACAACTATCTAAATTATTGGTTCTGATGAAGTGTTAAGGAGTACCTGATCAAGAAACTCGTCAACTCCATCTAAGAAATCCGTACGATCTCGAGCTTTGTATGCAACGTCGTGAAAAACCTTAAAACAAGTTGGTTTTAAATTGTAGAAAATAAAGCTTTAAAAGTAAAAACAAGCAAAAAACAGTGCCAATTAGACAAATGCTTCTATTGTCTCGATTATATAACGCATAATTCCATATTAAACCACTTATATTTAGCAAGATGCCTTCTACAGATACCAACATTGATTGATAAAAGATTAGACTTGAACTTATAATGCATACTTCATCAGACATAAGGGTGGCAATAGCCCTTCCAATTCCTCTATATTGACTTGCATGACCGGTAGGTCCTAATAAAACAAAAAAGAATCGCGTAGGCACAGGTACCTTAAAAAAGAGACCCAAACAAATTCACAATCACAAGTCTTTGAGACCACCAGAACACTAAATAATCAACCAGGCATAGAAAATATAATTTTAAAAACTGATAAAAAAATAGCACCCTAGAAGCATTACTGTAATTAGAAACCTCAGTAAGATCTCCAAGTAAGCTCGCTGTCTTTAAGCGCACAAGCGCAGTTATATGGTGCGTTAAGAAATCGACCTCACCAACCAGAACATTTGATGCTTCAGCTCCGGGAGGCAGCTTTTTCATGAAATGAATGTTACCTTTGATATCTTGATGCGAACTTTCTCTGCTATTGTCATTGGAGTCAACCTAAAGATATTTTAATACATTTTACAGAATAATTACTTAAACAACAAAACGATGTTTTATCACCGCAGTTATAAAAAAAATTGTTTTTTGATTTTGCAGAAAAATGATGGCAACGTACATATGAAGCAAATGGATTCAACGTTGCAATCAATAAATTTTTAACTGTCAAAATAGTTCACACTGCGATTGTAATACACTATGCATGTCTCAAAAAAAAAATCTTTCGGAACTATAAAAATTGATGCTATCATGTAATCATTTTCAATATTTACTAGTTGTCCATAAATTTTTACAATGCATTTTACTTGGCAATTCTGCTGTGAAACAGGAACCTACACTTTGCCATCATATAAATTTTTACTGTTAAGAATTACTGCACCCACTCCTGAATCTTTCAAAAAAGATCGATAAGAATTTACATTTTCATAGCAAGACAGAAAACAGTTTAAAAGAGGAAAGGCTACACATGTCTTTTAAAAAAATACGAAACAGCGACTAAGCAAGAAGTAAAAAATACGCTACCATTTGTCTGTCACAGAAAGACCATTAATTCAAAATTTTAAATTTAAAGTTTTTAAAAATATTTACACAACTGGTAAAGAAAGCAAATAAAGCTTAAAAAGATCTCTTTTGTGTAGAGAAGCCGACGCATCATTTTTATATCATTTTGAAAAATAAATTATTATCAATCATTTTGGATGTTTTGGGGGAAGACTTAGAAAACTATATACGGCACAGTTTTCAAAAGTCTCAGAATTACATTGGGTTGTACACATTTACAAAGAACTGTTCATTTCCGCTCATACTGTGTAACAAAAAAACTTACTGATAAAAATCCTACTCGACAAACACAGAAGTAAAACCACCGGGATGGCTAAAGAATAATTTAAAGCATTCTTTTTATAAAACCAGGAACCTTGTTTCTCAGCTACACTACGAAACTCTTCCAGCAAACTTAACAAAAAATCTTACGTGTACGAAGAGTTTCTAAGACTGCCAAAATAATAAGAATGTACTACATTTTATTAACTTACAACTGGTTCAATTAAAAAGAAATAAGCTTGATTTTAGAACTCGCCTTTGGTAACAGCAAATTTGGGCTTTTACGAGAGCTTTCCTGAGCTTCACCGGCTTTACTAACATTACGACCCGACAGCGACCTTCCCATATCAGATATAGAACGAACAGCGTTAAGAAACCCACCTTGACCACCGCCAACACCATTATTAGCCCCCTTAGCCTGCAATATCATTACAATAAAAGTAAGGAACAGCCCGTCAGTAAAAGAGCCATTAGTAGACAGTAAATGAAGTAATCTGTATTCAGACATTCAAACTTTAGTACTTGCTCATACTGGTGTCGGTGACGTCTCAATAAAACCTGGCGCACTTGATCCCTTTCAGATTCCTCTATTTGCTTTTTTTCAACAAAAGCGTCAAGAACTTCTTCTGCAAAAAGCCGAATTTATGTGAAAATAAAACCAATAATCATCCTGAAAAAATTTATTTGAAACAGTCAAATATGAACATTTGTTGATAATTTACCAATAAGATCAGATAACGTTGTTGAGTCTGAGTCTATTATAACGATTCCGTTTAGGAGGCAAGACCTAAGCTGAAACAACGAATGAAGTGAAAGAGTGGCGACGTGAGGTTTTGACCACCTGTTTCCACCCTCTTCAACATCTTCCTCAAACTTCACCCATCGTGCTGTCTCCCTCCATTCTTCTACAGGTCCTGCTCGCTGTAATTCATTCATCTCAGTGAAGAGAGCTGGTGCTTCGCTTCTTTCTTTTAGCAGGAACATGACTCTTGTGCCCGGCGCTAAAAAACTACAGTTCAAAGCTTCATAAACACTTTTTAAGCCCAGACTCACAAGAAAAAAGATTTAGAAAAAAGTAGTACAACTTTCTTTTGGACAATAATTTGTTTAAAAAAAAAAAGTTTGACAAACAAAATTTGAATAGTAACGAAAAGATAAACGTTTGAGTTCTCTTTTCCGCCACAGAATTCCCACAATTACAAGAATCTCTTCATATTCCATTGTTTAGAAAGTAAGCAGAAAAAAACTTAGCCATTATCTACTCCTACAAAATTACTTTTTCTAAGTTTTTTTTAGAATTTAATTAACAAGTTCACATCACAAATTACAATTTATACAACTCTTTCCTTTCTCTCAAAATACTGAATTAAAACAATGAAAAAGAATAAGACTATAAAAAAAAAACAAGGTAAATATTTTTCATACTAGCAAAAAATCTAAAACGTGAAAAAAAAAGGACCCTACGCATTTTCTCAATTTAGTTATTTTTATTTTATATACCAATACATAAACTAAAAAGTCAGAAAAAATGAAAAAGATAATAACAGTTGAGCTCGACAAGACCGATTATATTCAGAATCGAATGAGAGAAAACTACAACCATCGATAAAGCACAATAACGCAACATTGTGAGAAGCACTGTGAGACTGATAGCAAACTAAAAACGAGTCTGTATTAAGCAAAATGTTAAGTGTTGACGAGCTGCGACTTTCGTTTTTTTTTCTGCCGCTCTACCAATTTTGAAAAAAATTCAATCATTCATAGCGATACTAAAAATCTTGCGCAAAAAGTTTGTTAAGGAACGGGATCAACAACTACTGCAGCTTATTAAACTAATGTTCAATAAATAGCGTGTTAATCAAATAAGTGACGAAAATTAAAGACGCAAGCAAAGTTGAAAATAAGTTTTGAGCATTGCACAAATAAATCTCAAATTGAACTAACAGACAATCAAAACAGCAGTTTTTGAAAAAAACAACGGAAGACTGTGATCTACTTATTATACTCCTCTCCCAATGCCTCAATTTCGTTTTTTTTTAACCAACTCATAATTTAATCGGCTCAAAGAAGTAGATTTGCAAATTAGGTACAGCTAAAAATAGCTTCATGAAACTGCTTCTAAATTAAAGTTGAGTAAGGCAAGAAAGAAAGAATTACAAATAAACTGCAATTTCTCTGTATGCAAATACTTATTCTACATATCCTCACTATTTCAAATCCAACCGTAAAGAGTAACTGATTGGCATCAACCTTGAATTTAGTGTTTCAACAGCTGAATTAAGAAAGTTCCATCACGCCCTTTTTTATAGCATTCAATAAAGATAAATTTATACTTTACAGAAAAAAATTATAGACAATTTATAGTTGAAGCTTAATTAAAGTACTTAAAAGTTTACAGCGTTTGACTTTCAAAAGCTAAAAATTAAGATAATTTATAACACCAAAACACACTTGTTAATATAAGTTTCAGTTTAAGACGTGAAAAACCCACAATTCAAAATAAGAAGAAATTAACAGCAAAAAAACTGAAACACATGTCTTTTTTAACAACAAAAAGCATTATTATAGTAATACACAAAAAAAAAA